TAAGTTTCTGTAGGAGTCTACAATGGCTCATCTGGCTTTCTGAAGAAGACCAGGAAAGACCAGTTTGAGGTGCTAGTAGGACGTGTGCAAGTCCAAGGGTCCCCAACAAGTGCGGGAGGTCAACCAAAGCTGATAGCCGATTTTTTCTTCCTTAGGAGGAGTGCAGCGGAAACGGGTACACCCAGTGATACTTGAGGTTTCCTTCAAAAGTTCCTACTATCCAGCATATATTTCTAAAACTAATACTTTAGTAATAAATTGATCATAGATTTAATAATTGTAGAGTACTTTTTATAAAAAAAAAAAAAAAAAAAAAAAAAACACGTTTTGTTCAACACAGAAAAGAGATTGATTTGTTTTGAGCAAAATTGTGTAATTGTGGTCACACACTCAGGCAATTGAACAGATCTTGGCAACAGACCTTTATTGTTATACAGTGGAGTAGGAATATATCTAAATTGTAAAACTGCGCCAAAGGGGGGGAGCCCAAGGCCAGAGATTGGCGTTAAGCATCAAAAGTGACACTACTCAGTAATAATAATAATCAGAAATATTTCATTTTATTATTCCTCATTTGTTGCATTCATAGTATGAGATTAAAACAATTAAAATTTGGTAATAGTGATTGTTATAGAGGTATTGAACAATAAATGTATAAAGATTTAAGAAATGAGGGAGAGGAAGGATGTGGAATGAGCACTAATGAGCACGGTTTGGTGGACATCTTTCCTTGGGAACGCACGTCCCAATCTATATGTTTTGTATACTTCCTTACTAGGTTTTCAGCTTCTTTCTGAATCCAACCTGCCTGTTCCATTATCTGCAATTTTACCATGCAGGTCATTCCGGTTGACATCTCAATATTTGGTAATGTCTTCCTATTTTATTTTGAATTGTTTTCTCATTTGACATGTACGTCATTCTCTGTCTGCACCTGTCCCCATCTCTGCTGCATGTTTTTTTTGTATAGGTCTTTAGTCAATCATAGATGGATCAAATCTTAGCCATTTCAGCAGGGACCGGACAAAATTCATGAATTGGCAGACTGGTTGTACAATTGATCGACTTCAGTATAACCAACCTGTCAGATTTTTTTTGCATGTGATTACTGCTGGCAGCTAGACACCAGCAGTGATCATTGTGTTCTGCTGGCAGGGAAGGCTCCTTGCTGTAGAACACAATAGCACTGCGGGTAGTATTTCTACATCAACACGGACTGTGTTAATGGAGAAATCAAGCAATTTTCTTTCCTTCTGCCTGTGGTGGAAGGAAAAGAACTCAAGTCTAGGGAGACTCCATCTAAACAGAGAAAGGAGAAAAGGTGTTAACATTTGAATCGGGGGAGTGGTGAGGTGAGAGAAATAAAAATAGAGAGGGGGAGGATAAGAGACAAAGTAGGTGGTTTAGGAATCCAAGACCATTTGACGAAGTATCCTGTGTGTCATATAAATGTACAATGTGTTAAGGAAGAAATAATATACATTTTTGTAATTGCATGAGAATGAAAAAAGTTTACAATAAATATTAGAACAAGGATAATCATCCATAAAATGAAAAAAAAAAAAAAAAAATGAATACGCAAATCTGAAAAATAAACTTTTTTTTTTATTTTCCATGCTAATAATTCTCAGTAATATTTAAATGAACTTAACCATAGTTTGCTTTATATGTTTGCAGGTGTTGTGACATTTCATTTGACTGAATTAAAACATTATTATTTACAGGGGAAAAAAAAAAAAGTATGAAATATAACAAAAACGTTATGAATACAAAATCCTCCTTTACCAACTGTTAACATATTGAAGATGAAAACATTTAAATTGTAACAAATTTTAAAATATTACATACCAAATAAAAACATGTTAACATAAAATGTTTTCAGTATTTTGTTTTTACATAAAAAGACAGAACTAAAAGCACCTAAAAATTACAGTTTTTGTATTCCCAGAGAAGCGTCCATCTCTTTAAGTCTCGCAATTATAAGATTTTCCAGATAGCGATAACATTTTTGTCAGTTAAGGCAACTAAATATTCCATTGCTGGGTTTACAAGCACAGTGTTGATAACAGTTTCTTCCATTTTCTCTTTTCTTGAAACGGGAGCTGGCCAGTTAATAACCTGTTTAAATGAGGTAAAAAACATTATCAGATTTAGGATGGTTTTCTGCTTGCTAAAGCACAATAGGGATAAGATAAGGACTGGAACAGAAAGGTTTGCTAGAATTTTTAATGAAATTGAAGATAACAGAAACATATGCACAGACATACGCTAAAGCAGACCGTACATAATTAAAAAAAAAAAAAAAAAAACGAATAGTCCATTAAGGCCCCATGTACACGGGATGTTTCTGAATGATGGAAACTGACTGCTGGAAACTGACTGCTGGAAAATGTAGGTTAAAAAACGTCTGTTTAGCCGTGTTTGCATAACGCGTTCATGCGCGTTTGCGTTTAGAAGCGTTTTTTTTTTTTTTTTAAAGATAAGCACAGGAGAACCTCCCAAATGCCCGGAATGCACTGAAAAGTGGTAAATTATGAACTATTTCAGACTGTTTCAGAGAAATACACACAGTAGTAGAAGCAGAGACAGCAGTTGACATTAGCTAGGTGTGAGTTGCTCATTAACATTTCTTTTGTTTCCAAGGGTGGGAAAGGTGTCTGGTGGAGTGAGTCATTAAGGTCACCTGGCAGAAGGTCTTCATGAAGAATTTGAGTTGTGAATGGGCATGAACATATCTTTTGTTTCCAAGGGTGGGAGAGGTCTGAGGTGTGAATTGGTCATTAAAATGTGTGGCAAGTTTGGTAGGAACATCCTGTGTTCAGTGTTTTGTCCATCTGAGCACCCTGAAAACTCTGTGCATGCATTTTTCATGATGAAAAAAAGGCTCTGGACAGCATTGGGAACTGGAAGAGTTAAAAAAAAAAAATTCAAACGCTTATAAACACGATTTGCCGCGTTTACAAGCGTTTTGGGTTTGAAACGCTGAGAACATAGACGTCTGAACGCAAGTTTGTTGCGTTAAAAAAAACCCGACTGTAAACTCAACTGCCTGTAAACAAAGATGCGTACATGGACACATAGGAAAACATTAGGGTGAGTTCAGGGGCTGCTGAAAAAAAAAAAACAAAAAACACTGAACAGCTCCTAAACGTTAGTTTAGCAGCTGCACTGTACATGAGCCCTAAAAGGTAAAAATACCCAAAGGGTTGGTTCTCGCAACAATTTCAGTATTCTGGATGCCTGTTTGCATGCATGTTGAGGTGCATTTTTTACATTTTCAGCGCTTTCCACTGCGTTTTTCCCCTTTTGTAGTTTTGACACTTGAAAAATCTTAGGGCAGTGGTGCCTTATGTGTGTCCCAGTTCTTTTATGTGCATTTCAGGTAAAAAAAAAAAAAAACTGCAACAGGTTGTACTTTTGTTGAAAGCACTGCAACTGACCTCACTGGTGTGAACTAGGGCCATTGGAATACGTGGCAATTATTGTACATGCGTTCTGGATACATTTTAAAAATGCACCAAAAAGCATCTGTGTGTATCAGCCCTCAATCTGGCCCAGGTTAATATGGACCCATCCCCAGCCTGAGAGGGACTGGACAGTGAAAAAGAAGCAGCACAGTGATGAGCTCATCCTTCTAATACTCTGCTTTTTCCTACTATCAGCACATGAAGGGATAGGTTACCGGTGCTGCTTCTTCCTTTCCTATTCTGAGCTCTGCTGTACAAGGACTACAAGATGCTGATACCAGGTCAAATTTAGGGACTTGTGCAGCTTGCATTCAAATAAGTAATTAATGGATGTGTTAATGAAGACAAAACTGCATTAGTTTGTGTCTTATATACCTGACCAGAGTTTAGCTTTAACCACTGTTTGGAAGTAGGTGCATGAAAGAATTTTGGAAGCCCATATCTATTTCTGTCCACCAAACTATAGTCAAGTCTTGGAAGTGGTCTAAAGGTTGATCTTCAAGTAGTCAAAATGCGTAATTAATGAGTAGCTGTGATGCGCTCTTGATGATTTGCAAGCCACATTTCTTTGCTTCACCTTTCTCAAGGTGTGGAAACCCCGATTATGCTTTTTCTTCCTTGAATCCTTCCAGTCTCAGCTACATGTAGTCACATTTCAGCCCTCTGTGGAGAAGACATTTTCCCTTATGCTTCTCCCTTCTGTTCCATCTGCCTCAACCCCTTTTGTAGCTCCCCCCTATTGTCTGTGGCCTCCTGGGGATATCTCAGCCTCACACTTGCACACGTAAAGTTGTTCACAAAGAACTTTGTATTTACCAACAGCGACTGTATGTAGTGCAAGAAGGTAAGTGTACCAAACTTGATATAAAATTGAATTAAGTGGTTAAGATGCTCATATTACAAAGTTATTGCTACAGTGTTTTTTTTTATTTTTATTTTTAGACGTTTTATAATTGTACTGTAACAAGCAGTGTCAGCTTAATGCGGGGTATACACGGAGTTTTTTAGTTCAACCCAGTGGACCGTACTAAGCGATGTTAGTGGGACGATCTTCCCCGCTGAGCTATTGTATTCTGACAGGGACACTGCCCCCATCAGAATGAACTGATCAGTGCTCACAGACATTGGCTGCAAACGCTGATTGGATGCTGGTTTTCCAGAATGCCTGTATGATAAAAGCCGGTTGTTAGACTTTTGTCAGACAGGGTGATGTACACGTGTATCAGCCTTTAGTCTGCAAACTATTCCACAGCTCAGTAAAGATTTTTTTTTTCCCTTGTTCTTCATCTAATCAGTTCAGATTTTTATTAAATGTTTTTCAGTGCTATAACAGTCCAACGTATCAAAATAAAATGCACAACTGCTAATTGGCAAGCAGAACTACGAGTTGCCATTGTGTGGCACATGCATTTGAAGTGTTTGAGTCTAGTTCTCTTGACCACGCCATATCCCAAATTTATGTAAATATAAACAAAACTTTACCTTTGTGGGTTCTTTCAGAGCACTACCTAAAACTCCTTTCTGTAACTCAGCTTGACAGGTTTCAAGGTCATAAATCCACACTTTCCCAGCCTCATCGCCACAGAATAGGCAGAGTCCTTCTGTAAAAACAAATACTTTATGCAAATGAGTGAAGTAAGATTTGTGTTCCTGTTCCTCCTTGCAAAAAGGAGCAGATAGCGGTCCTGCTGATGGGTTAAGGACCCTCTATGGCCCTGTCCAGCTCTCCTAGAGTAACTGCCTGTCTCCTGGAATCTCCTCCATACTCTTGAGACTGGGCTGGGAGACACAGCAAGCCTACTGGCAATGGCACGTATTGATGTACCATCCTGGAGGAGTTGGACTGTCTGTGCAACCTCTGTAGGGTCCAGGTATCGCCTCAGGCTACCAGTAGTGATACTGACCCTAACCAAAATGCAAAACTAGTGAAAAACAGTCAGAAAAGAGGAGTAGAGGAAAAAATGTCAGTGGCCATCACCTGTAAAACCATTCCTGTTTTGGGGGTTGTCTCATTGTTGCGCAACTAGTGCACCTGTTAATTTCATCAACAGCAAAGCAGCTGAAACTGATTAACAACCCCCTCTGCTACTTAACTGACCAGATCACTATCCCAGGAGTTTAACGGACTTGATGCTATACTCTGAATAAAATGTGTTCTTTTAATTTTTTTGAGAGATAGATATATAAATAATTTTTTTTATAGATCACCAACACTGCTGCCCGCTCTGCCAAAACCAGCTACACTTCACTGTGCAGTCACAGACAGCCCTTCTTCCAAGAATGGCTGCATTGTACTGTGTATGCACGCTGTGGGCCTATTCACTCCTATAGTAGAGCCGTAATCTGAATAACTGTTTGTGGTTGCCAAGAGTACATCTTTCCCACAGTAAAATGAACGGGACCATGGCAGACATTCACACTAAGAAAATGTCATTTTCGGAGGATAGGCTTTGCGGCTTCAAGTGGGCCCTGCAGTGAAGATTGCAGTATAGGGGCTGAAGGTGTTTGACACACTGGACAGTACTTAGGAAAGGGGAATTTATTAACCTCCCTGGCGGTATTTCCAAGTGTAGCTCAGGGATAATTATCAGTGCCAAAAGCGGTAACCCCGAGCTACACTCGGGATTACCCTGCAGCGTTGCTCTGTGATCCTTGTTTCACTTACCTTGTCCTTCGCTCCCGCGATGTCCCCCCTGCAGCATCCCCGGCTATCTCCTCCGGCCGATGCCAGCATCCGTCTTCCGGTCCCTGTGAGCATCGGGATGTACAGGGGCCGGAACCGGCAGGAAATTTAAAATTGACATTCACAAAATACACTAAAATCACATAGTAAAACATTATTGTTTCAAAGCATTTCACATATATTTTGTCCCTAATGCTTTGCCCTGTGCCTTGCCTGCATTTTTACTGTTCTTTCTGCTTTGAAACTGAGAAATGTTCATGGCGTCCAAAAAGCGTCCCTTTAGGTCAAAAGCGGTTTTTAGACCGGCTAGAGAACAGCAATAGTAAATCAGAACCACTTGCAGAATTGAGTGATGATTCGTGGGGAAATTCATCATCAGACACTGAAAACGATTTTGCGACTAAGCTCAGTGATGTGCGAACTTGGCGCTATATTTCAAATTTCAGTGTTTTTGGCTTGATTATTTAATTAAATTTATTATATTATTTTTTATGATTATTAGATTATAATTTATGATTTAATCTTTCAAATTTTATCCTACCCGGGATGGTTACTAGACTCTTGTCAGACAGATTTCAGTAAGTTATTCATAAAAATGACAGGCCTACAATAAGAAAACGACATATTTCCATGCGAAAAAATGTACCGCTTTGAGCACAAAAATATTGACATGGTCATACCTCTAGGGAGGTTAAAGGATGATTTTACAAAAAAGGTACAGTTGTGCTCAGGGGCGGACTGACAACTCGTGGGGCCCCCGGGCAATAGGGGATCATGGGGCCCCTGTGTCCTTGCCCAAACTCAAAAAAGCCTATGAAGAAAGGTACCAGGGGCATCTCATGGGGCCCCCTACTGACCCCGGGCCCTCGGGCAGTGCCCGAGTTTCCAAATGGTTAGTCCACCTCTGGTGTGCTTTAAAGTATCTATGGTCAAAATTAAAATTCATATATTCATTTCCACATTTTAATTCAATTATTTCTAGTCTACTCCTATTGCTCTGAATTACTATAAAGATTGTAAGCTTACTTTGTTAGGATACCCACACATTTAATACATGAATTCTGTAAAACATTCATTCTGCCCTGTGAGTAAGCACTGCTGTGTCATATAATTCAAAGAGCCTGCCTTCTGAACTACAGGAGGTGGAGTATTGGGTGGCACAGCTATTACAGGAATCACAACTTGCAGACAGCAAGGTACCATGGGATATGTAGGCATTATAAATTGAAAGCAAACAGCAGAGGGGAAGCTGCAAAGCATGCAGGGATTCCAAGAAGTTGTGGAAAGAGATGACCAGCAGACAAGTAGAACTCACAACATGAAAGGAGATTTCTCAAGTAAGTTTATATTGGATTTTGAAATACACTCACCGGCCACTTTATTAATTACATCTGTTCAATTGCTTGGTAACACTATTTGCTAATCAGCCAATCATTTGACAGCAACTCAATGCATTTATGCATCTAGACGTGGCGAAGGCGACTTGCTGAAGTTCAAACTGAGCACCAGAATGGGGAAGAAAGGGGATTTAAGCGACTTTGAACGTGGCATGGATGTTTTTGTGCCAGACAGGCTGGTCTAAGTATTTCAAAAACTGCTGATCTACTCAGATTTTCACGCACAACCATCTCTCGGGAAATCTAAACTCATCAGATCAGGCAACGTTTTTCCAGTCTTCAATTGTCCAATTTTGGTGAGCCTGTGTGAATTTTAACCTCCATTTCCTGTGCTTAAGTGACAGGAGTGGAACCTGGTATGGTCTTCTACTGCTGTAGCCCATCTGCTTCAAGGTTTGATGTGTTGTGCATTCAGAGATGGTATTCGGCATACCTTGGTTGTAACGAGTGGTTATTTGAGTTACTGTTGCCTTTCTATCACCTCGAACCAGTCTGCCCATTCTCCTCTGACATCAACAAGGCATTTCTGTCCACACTACTGCCGCTCACTGGATATTTTCTCTTTTTTCGGCTCTGTAAACCCTAGAGATGGTTGTATGTGAAAATCCCAGTGGATCAGCAGTTTTTGAAATACTCAGACAAACCCATCTGGCACCAACAACCATGCCATGTTCAGAGTCACTTAAAACCGAATATCAGAATGTGGGGGGGGGGGAGGGATTTAAATTCAGCAAGTCATCTTCACCACATCTAGATGCCGAAATGTAATGAGTTGTTGCCATGTGATTGGCCAAATAGCAACATGTGTTACCAAGCAATTGAACAGGTGTACCTAACAAAGTGTCCCATGAGCATATAACTATTGTTATTACAATGATGATGTTACAAAATGAAAGTCAATACTGTGACCATAGAGGTCTGTTAGGAGAAAAATTGGTTATTACAAGGGTAGTAGTCTATCACACAACAGATCTTTTAATTATTAACAAAGGGCTGATTCTTCTCTGCCTCTTCAGTATTAACGTTGCCCTGTCAGAACTAAACTAAGTGTAAAAGTTGATTATGTATACTTTACTTTTTGTAGCTTTTGCCCTAAAACTCTGCTGTATTGCTGACTCTCACTGCACATATCCAACATTTCCAAGATTGTCAAATATCTGCTGTGGGTGATCCTGCCGGCTCCTACATCACTACAGGATGTACAAGCTGGCAGGAGGAAACATAGCACTGGATGGGGGGGGGGGGATCAAGTTTTTGACACACCCAGCAATAGTTTATACACACACAAGGCATCAAATGTAAGTGTCTGTACTCTGCCAGGATGGAGAGAAAAACACAGAAAATAGAGGTTACATGTGCACACACTGCAAACTTCAGAAGTTAAAAGGAAAGTCATAGGCAGAAGTACTTTACCTGAAGAATTTGTGAGTGTGAGGTATGGTAGTTCAGTCTGTGACCACTTAAGCTCTGCTAGTACAGCTGCCTCCGCCTTCTTGGAGGAGTTCATAGAGCGCTGTTTAGGGAAAGACTTCTTCCAGCTCCAAATGTATATGGATCCTTGCATGGCACTTTTAGAAGCTGTTAATAAATATCTTTATTTTAGTGCCATCATAGCCAAACACGGGGAGATTAAAAAAAAAAAAAAAAAAAAAAGATTGCTCCAGCAAAAATATATTAGGTTTCAGGGGAAGCTGTAGAGTAAAACTACCTAACAGTAACTTAAATCATTGGGACAATCCAATGATGGGATCTCTGAGCTGGAGTCTGGTCTTCAGAATTTATTTTATGGCCGATAAAGTCTCCAAGTAATCTAAGATGCCAAAGGGTGCAGAGATCCAGCTATGCCTAAAACATTACTTTTGGGTGGACTGACACTTTTAAAGAACAAACCTAACTTTAGACTGATCATGTAGGTTTTGATAAAAGGTTAAAAAAGTAAGAGAGTTTATAACAATTACTTTACCACACACACTTTTCACTTTGTTCACCCTCCATAACATTGCTAGACATGGTCTCAGCTTAGTATATTAGCAGAACAGAAGCAGAAGGGCTATTTAGTAGCACCCTGGATGCTGGGACACCCACTGATTGCCTAGAGCCACAAATGGACCTATGTAAGGGCTCATGTACATGGGGCGTTTGGAAAACTCTTCTGAAGAATGGAAACTGACTTCTGGAAAACCATAGGTTAAAAAACGTCAGTTTAGCCACGTTTGCATACCGCATTTATGTGTATTTATAAGCGTTTTTAAAAGATAACCTCAGGAGACCTTCTCAAATGTCCAGAATGCACTGAAAAATAGTAAAAATTTAACTGTAAACGCAACTGCCTGTAAACGACTATGTGTACATACATGGACACATAGGAAAACATTAGGGAGAGTTCAGGGGCTGCTGAAAAAAAAAGCGGAAAAAAAAGCTCCTGAACGTTTAGGAGCTACAGTGTACATGAGCCCTAAAATAATACAAGGCTCTCACTATTATGAAGTGCCTTTCTATGCTCTTCCTAAGGAGAAATAACTCAGAAGGTTAAAAGTGGTTGTAAAGTCTCAAGGTTTTTTACCGTCATGCATTCTATGCATGACAGTAAAGCTTCAGTGTGCAGCAGTGCCCCCTAAAACGGCTCTCTCCCCTCTTCATTGGCAGAGACTGCAGCAGTAACCATTGGCTCCTGCTACTGTGAATCACAGCCAGTGAGCCATTGAGGAGAGAGTGGGGGCGGGGCCAAGTTGCGCTCTGCATGTGATCTGACATGCACAGCAGCGGCTTGGGAGCGAGCCTGCTCAGGTGCCCCCATAGTAAGCTGTTTTCTATGGGGGCACTAGGCAGGAGAGCAGGGCCAAGAGCACTGGCGGAGACTCTAGAAAAGGAGGATTTGGGTTTGCTCTGTGCAAAACCATTGCACAGAACAGGCAAGTATGACATGTTTGTTATTTAAAAAAACAAAAAAAAACCAAACCTGTATTGCTCCACCTACTATCCTAAAATTAGGACTAATCCCATTATTTTTGATGGAAATAAGACACGTGACTACCATTATGTTCTTAGAAGGCTCTACTGTCAATGCTCTCTTCAACAAAACAAGCTGTAGCCTCTCTGGAGAAAGTTAAAGCTGCATCATAAAACACAATTTCAGCTAAATAAAGTTCTATTAGTTACTAAAAATCTGCTACCAACCCACCAATTAGATCATCATTCAGAAACACCAGTCCATCTATAGTATGATAATCATTGTCCTCTGATTTTTTTTTGTAGATCGGAAAACTGAATTCTGCATGGTAGGAACTGAATAAAGGCAAAAATGATTAAAAGAGAACAAGTTTAACAAAAGGAATTGGAAAACAATTTCAGAACATGTTCCACTGTAAACCAGCCCTGTGGTTACTGCTTAAATAAGCATTATAATTTTTTACTACAGTCCTGTCCCCTATGAGACATAATGCATGTACTATCTTGTCCTAAACTGCTAAGTGCTTTTTAAACACTTATTAGGTCCAACCTGCCCCCATCCCCATCTCCTGTGGTGGCAAAGCCAACAACAGCTTTGAAGGGGAACAATTTTGAATCCTGCCTAGTGCCTCACAGCTGCTCTCCTAAAAGCTTCGTATTCTGCACCTGTCACCTGCATACACGCAAGCTAAATTCTAAACCCTTCAGAAGAAACCCTGTCTACAAACGGTTGATGGACTTTCCATTGAAGTGTATGGAGTCTGCACATGCATGGGCCCTACAACGTGGTATATGGAATATTTAAAGGCAGTGCAATGCTGCACAGTCTTCATGTTGAAGATGGTAGAGGAGCAGGTTACAAGTAAGTATTTATTATGGGTACTTCTATAGTGCCGAAAATTTACGCAGTGCTTTACATATACATCGTACATTCACATCAGTCCCTGCCCTCAAGGATCTTACAATCTAAGGTCCCTACTCTTTCATTCATACACACACATACTATGGCCAAATTAGAAAGGAGCCAATTAACCTACCAACAGGTCTTTGGAGGATTTTATCTGGCAGGTAGTGTCAGGGTGGGGATTTGAACCAATGACCCACGTTCTGGAGAGCAGGAGTGATAACCACTTAGCCACCATGCTGCCCAAGTATAAATATTACTAAAATTCTGGGCATGGGGTATGATTACTAAAATGCTGGTGTAAGGGAGGGGGGCCAGAATATGTACTATTACTAAAACTCTGGTGTACAGTGAAAAGAGAGGGGGCGGGGTGGGGGGGGGGGGGGGGGGGTGCAGAAAATAAAAAAAAAGTGAAAATGGTCAAAGTACACATATCTTCCTTTCAGGCATAAGCAACCCCAACTTTTCAGGCAGAGTACATGTTCATTAAAATATTACCATCTTCCTTCTTTTTTATTCAGCGTTATGTCCCAAACATAGCAGCCATCATCACAACCTGCCAACAAGTACTGATCCACAGAAGAAGGAACGAGACAGAGCCGTAGAGGAGTGGATGGAGTGTCCAGTGTCAGCAACTGGCTGGAAAACAATAATGATAGTAGGAAATGAAACTTTAGCACTACCAGACAATCCATATTGTTATAGCTTGACATGTGACCAATACAAAAGGAACATACATAACTTGCAGTTAAAGTGTGCATAAGTGTGTGGGGTTTTTATTTAGTAACGTAAACATGAAATATTATTACACTTTTGCCCATAGAAATGAGGGAATTCTTTGTGTATTTTGTCATGTGTTTATTTGTGAAAAACAAATTCTGTATACATTACATACAATATAGTAAAACACAGATGGGACAACAGTTTAAAAACTTAAAAGAAATGCACTGTTCAAAAGATGAATTCTGGATAAACAAAATAAGCGGTTACCTTTATGGGAGCAACGTTACCTGCCAAGAGTTATTATTTCTGTTCATCCACTCCTAATATTTACACAGCCCTACCGCAGAGCACTCCAGCCTGGTGAGCAGATTTTCTCTGCTGCACAGCTCAGTCATTTCCCTATCCCCAGTCTATAATTGGACAGTGATGGTGCAGCATCTGACTCAGAAGATTGTCTATCTGCTCACTCCTCCTGTCAGCACATGTAAATGCAGGACTCCTGACTGGGCCTAAGTAAAGCCCCTCCCTCTACCTGCTGTACAGGTGAATACAAGAGGCTGAAACCATGACAGATTCAGATAGTTATATTAACTGCATTTCAAATACATTTAATTACTTTTAATACATATTTTATTTGTGCATTTTAATAACTGCCTGGAGTTCAGCATTGAAATCAAGAGCTCATGAAATTCCTAAAACTAATTAACACCTTTGTCTATCTTTTCAGTAACAGGAGAGAAGCTAATTTACAGTTCTATACTTGACATGCTGTAAAACTTTGCACCTGTGCCCATCCCCATGTTGACAGCGTATGTTCTATGTACAAAACACGATTTCATTTCTTCGTGACTACTCAGCTTTTTTTTCCCCCTCTTCTTCAGGCCTACTGATCTGTAACATTCTGAGGTGGAGTAATGACCACAAACATATACACATTCCCTAATAGGAGGAAGATTATAAATAATGTTTAACCTCTTCCCGTCCGGCCCACTGCCAATAAATGGCTGGATGGGAGCGCTGCCACATCCCCCCGCATCCATTGCCTGTGAGCACCCCCTGGGAATGCGCGGAACCGAGATCTGAGCCCGCTGTGTTCTCCGGGCACAGATCACTGTACAGGACCTCTGTGTGAGGTCCCGATCCATGTGAATCACTGATTGGCCAATCAGTGATCACATGAATAGTAGTAAACAAGATGTCACTTCTGACATCATTGCTTACTACATGTGAAATCTGTGAATGATCACAGAGGTCACATGGTACAAGGCTATTTACAATAGCCTTGTACCATGTGGCAAGCTGTGACCAATCAATGGTTGCATGAATGCAGCCAGAGAGAAGGAGAAACGATTGCTTTTACACAAGTCCCCACAAGTAGTACAGTGAAAATGTGGTGACACTGTACTGCTAGGGTCAGTATGTAAAAAAATAAAATAAAAATGTTTTTTGTAGCATTATAATTTTTGGTTATAAACTAAATTTGGGTTTTTTTTTTTTTTTTTTTTTTAACTAAAAAGATAGATGAATACATTTTGGCCAAGATTTAAGAAGAAAGATTATTTGCTACAATTTTCTAAGAAAAATACTTTTTTCCCCCTCAAAATTTTTGGTCTTTCATTTATATAGCAAAAAAAAAAAAAAAATCCCAGTGGTGAATAAATACCACTAAAAGAAAGTTTTATCTGTGTCAAAAAAAAAAAAAAAAAAAAAAAAAAAAAAAAAAAAAAATGCTAAAAGTGTCATATGGGCACAGTGTTGCATGACTGCGCAATTGTCAAAGTGTAATAGCACTGAATGCTGAAAATTGGCCTGGACTGGAAGGAGGTGAAAGTGTCCGGACTTGAAGTGGTTAAAGTGTAAGTTCATCTTTTCACAAAAAATTTAAAACATGAACACTGTACACCCTCTCCACCCCCCCCATCTCTCTGATCACCCTGGAAGAAGACTGCAGCTTTCAAACACTCGAACCCCAGGAAACTTAGGCTGGCCATACATGTGTAGATTTTCGGACAAGAATATTCGTAAGAAAAGTCGTCCGAAAATTCTTTGAACATCCGATGAATTGACGAATGTCATTCAAAAACTGTCTTTTGCTTTTAACATTTGACTTTAAAATTAATGTAATTTCTGAACGAGAATCACATACACTGGCCGAAAATTTGTTCGCTCGAGAGAAAAGTTTTCCTTCCTGCCCCTTCACATTTTCCCATGGCTGCTGTCAAAAATAAACATTGATTTAACCCCACTAACGATTAGAAAATCAAGATTTTTCATTTCAAGAATATACATTTGAACGAAAATCTATAAGTATATGGCCAACTTTACACTTTAGTGTAAATTTCTATCACAAAAAGGATTGTAATTTTACTCAAAAGTCAAAATACACTTATGTTATGTGGCCCTTTTATATCTAAACAGTGCCTCATATTGCAACATTTCTTGATGCCGATAATAATAAAAAGCAGTATAAAAATAGTGATTACTTCAGTAGCTTACCTTGATCTAAAGTTGTATTCAGAGTCTGGAACACCTATATCCCATAATATGATTCTCTTGTCATAGGATCCAGCTTTCATAAAACATATAGACATTAGACATTTGATTTAATTTTGCAGATTATTATAAGACCTCATTAGTTGGCCAATACATTTTTAAAAACAAAAAACCTAGTAAACAAAATGTACATTTCTCTTCTAACCACTTCTTGACTGTGCTATTGCCGAAAGACTACTACAGTGCGGCTCTCCAGTTCTGGGAGGACATGCATGGACGTGCGTGCCTTACGTGTTGGGCATGCTCTGTGATCGCTGTGTCCTTTGTACACAGCTGATCACAGATTGTGGTAAAGGGCCAATCACAACAGCCCTTCACCATGTGATCAGTTGTGTCCAATCACAGCCGGGCAAATGTAAACAGACTTGCCAGTCATCGGTATTCCTTTCCTCGTATGCTGTCTCTTTGAGGAAGGTGGAGCCCAGAGTCAGCAATTCTGACAGTACGTTGCTTACACTCATAATCAGGGCACTGATCCTCAGTGACCTGATTATCATTGCGGCCCCATAAATGCAGCTTGTCAGCGCCCATCAGTGCAGGCTCATCTGTGCATATCAGGGCAGCCTCATCAGTGAAGAAAAAAAAAACAATTACTTATTTGCTAAATTTTATAACAGAAACTAAAAGAAAAATATTTTGTTTTTTTTTACCCCTGTAAAATGTTCAGTATTTTGTTTGTTTAGCAAAAAAAACAGTGGTGATTAAATACCACAAAAAAAAAAAAAAAAAAAAAAAAAGCTGTCTCAAAAATGATAAAAAGTTCATTTGGATACAGTGTTGCATGACGGTGCAATTGTCAAAGTATGACAGCGCTGAAATCTGAAAATGGGCCTGGGCATGAAATTACATAACCAGAGCACAAAGTGAACCTGACTTAGCCTAAACAGTGCCTAAAGTAATAAAAGTACTGAAGTGCAGGCAATAATGGTACTTTCAAATCAATCCCTGTGGAGCACTGACTTCTATCGTTTAGCTGTCATATGCCAGAATCTCAGCATATAGTAGAGGCTCTAACATTTCAATAACAAGCGGTAGGTAAAGAAAGTATGAAATATGGCTTAATGATAAAATTTATGACCATTTCCATTAGAAGCACTTACTGAAGAGAAACGTGTCATGTGCCGGACTGAAACACATGATTGAGATGGCTTTTTTATGAGCTTTTATTTCTCCATAGCACATGTTAACTTTGGGATGCATCAGTCTGACTACTCCATATTTTCCACCAGCTGCCAAGACATTGATTTTTCTCTTCTGTCCCTCATTGTTCATCATAGTTAGTGTCGTCCATGCCAGTGCAAAGAATTCCTAAAAAATGGGACATTTTTTATTCTATTAGAAACTATAAGCATATTTTTAAAATGTAATATCTGAACTGAATTATATAAGCAGTACTGAATGTATTTTAAATCACACTTTCAAATGTTTTACAATTCCAGCTATTCCACAACAATTCAATGATTAATACACCTGTGGAAGACAAATACATTAAAGGAAACCTGTAAAGAGATTTATACAAGCTGCCACTGCTGACCACCTTCTGAAAATGCTAGTTGTCGGGTTTGAAAGTATTAAAGTAAAATTCCAGCCTAAAACTAACTAGCCCTTAAAAATGTCCCTCTCCTTCCTGCTACGTATGCTGACTAACTGGTGTTTTTTTTTTTTTTTTTGTTTTTTATTTTTAAAAGTATACTTACCTACTTTCAAGCCTGCTCTGGTGCAGTCACACAATCCCCTCTGTCTGTCAGGGATGGCTGCAGGGAAAAGGAGAGTGCATGACAACATCTGGGACTTCTGGGAGTGCTGACATCACCTATAGGCTCCCATGTCTCGGCCATTGTTGGTGTTCCCTTCTCTCCCTTGGAACCAACGCTGACTGACATCGCTGCAAATAGGCAAGTATAGGTAGAAGGAGGGGGAGGGGACCCTTTTAAGGGTAGTTAGTGTTAGGCAGAAATTCTACTTGAAAACGTTCATGGATGCTGACCAAAAACAATGCAGATCATCGCAGTAATCTGTATACTAGTTTGTAGGGCTGTACCAATACCGGTAACTGTGCCGATACTAAGCATTTGCATGAGTAATCGTACAAATGCTCAGATACCTGAAACAGATACCTTTGCGGTGCAATCTGAGCCCATACAAAATAAATGGGCTAAAATCGTACTGCAAAGAATCACATGTGATTTGAACTGAAATCACTCTACTTCAGCTGAAGTAGCAGTGAGATTCCTGTGCAAATCACATGCGGTTTCCCTGGGGGTGTGGTGCAAAATGCAGTGCAATTTGAGCC